GTGATGCTGTGATACTGTGATGCTGTGATGCCGTGATGCTGTGATACTGTGATGCTGTGATGCTGTGATACTGTGATGCTGTGATACTGTGATGCTGTGATGCCGTGATACTGTGATGCCGTGATGCTGTGATACTGTGATGCTGTGATGCCATGATGCTGTGATACTGTGATGCTGTGATGCCGTGATGCTGTGATACTGTGATGCTGTGATACTGTGATGCTGTGATGCCGTGATGCTGTGATACTGTGATGCTGTGATGCCGTGATGCTGTGATACTGTGATGCTGTGATACTGTGATGCTGTGATGCCGTGATGCTGTGATACTGTGATGCTGTGATGCCGTGATGCTGTGATACTGTGATGCTGTGATACTGTGATGCTGTGATACTGTGATGCTGTGATGCCGTGATGCTGTGATACTGTGATGCCGTGATACTGTGATGCCGTGATACTGTGATGCTGTGATGCCGTGATGCTGTGATACTGTGATGCTGTGATACTGTGATACTGTGATACTGTGATGCTGTGATACTGTGATACTGTTATGCTGTGATACTGTGATGCTGTGATACTGTGATGCTGTGATACTGTGATGCTGTGATACTGTGATACTGTGATACTGTTATGCTGTGATACTGTTATGCTGTGATACTGTGATGCTGTGATACTGTGATACTGTGATACTGTTATGCCGTGATACTGTGATGCTGTGATACTGTGATACTGTTATGCTGTGATACTGTGATGCTGTGATACTGTGATGCTGTGATACTGTGATGCTGTGATGCTGTGATGCCGTGATGCTGTGATGCTGTGATACTGTTATGCCGTGATACTGTTATGCTGTGATACTGTGATGCTGTGATGCTGTGATGCTGTGATACTGTGATGCTGTGATGCTGTGATGCTGTGATACTGTGATGCTGTGATACTGTGATGCCGTGATGCTGTGATACTGTGATGCTGTGATACTGTGATGCTGTGATACTGTGATGCTGTGATACTGTGATGCTGTGATACTGTTATGCTGTGATGCCGTGATACTGTAATGCTGTGATACTGTGATGCCGTGATGCTGTGATACCGTGATGCTGTGATACTGTGATGCTGTGATACTGTGATGCTGTGATACTGTTATGCTGTGATGCTGTGATACTGTGATGCTGTGATGCTGTGATACTGTGATGCTGTGATGCTGTGATACTGTTATGCTGTGATACTGTGATGCTGTTATGCTGTGATAATGTTATGCCGTGATACTGTTATGCTGTGATACTGTGATGCTGTGATGCTGTGATACTGTGATGCTGTGATACTGTTATGCTGTGATACTGTGATGCTGTGATACTGTGATGCTGTGATACTGTTATGCTGTGATGCCGTGATGCTGTGATACTGTGATGCTGTGATGCTGTGATACTGTGATGCTGTGATACTGTGATGCCGTGATGCTGTGATACTGTGATGCTGTGATACTGTGATACTGTGATACTGTGATACTGTGATGCTGTGATGCTGTGATACTGTGATACTGTGATGCTGTGATACTGTGATGCTGTGATACTGTGATGCCGTGATGCTGTGATACTGTGATGCTGTGATACTGTGATGCTGTGATACTGTGATGCTGTGATACTGTGATGCTGTGATACTGTGTTACTGTGATACTGTGATACTGTGATGCTGTGATACTGTGATACTGTGATACTGTGATACTGTGATGCTGTGATACTGTGATACTGTGATGCTGTGATACTGTGATGCCGTGATACTGTGATGCCGTGATACTGTGATGCCGTGATACTGTGATACTGTGATACCGTGATGCTGTGATACTGTGATGCCGTGATACTGTGATGCTGTGATACTGTGATGCCGTGATACTGTGATGCCGTGATACTGTGATACCGTGATGCCGTGATGCCGTGATACTGTGATACTGTGATGCCGTGATACTGTGATGCCGTGATACTGTGATGCTGTGATACTGTGATACTGTGATGCTGTGATGCCGTGATACTGTGATGCCGTGATACTGTGATGCTGTGATACTGTGATGCCGTGATACTGTGATGCTGTGATACTGTGATGCTGTGATGCTGTGATACTGTGATGCTGTGATACTGTGATACTGTGATGCTGTGATACTGTGATGCTGTGATGCTGTGATACTGTGATGCTGTGATACTGTGATACTGTGATGCCGTGATACTGTGATGCTGTGATACTGTGATGCTGTGATACTGTGATGCCGTGATACTGTGATGCTGTGATACTGTGATGCTGTGATACTGTGATGCCGTGATACTGTGATGCCGTGATACTGTGATGCCGTGATACTGTGATGCCGTGATACTGTGATGCCGTGATACTGTGATGCTGTGATACTGTGATGCTGTGATACTGTGATACTGTGATGCCGTGATACTGTGATGCCGTGATACTGTGATGCCGTGATACTGTGATGCCGTGATACTGTGATGCCGTGATACTGTGATACTGTGATGTCGTGATACTGTGATACTGTGATGCCGTTATACTGTGATACTGTGATGCCGTGATACTGTGATGCCGTGATACTGTGATGCTGTGATACTGTGATACTGTGATGCCGTGATACTGTGATGCTGTGATACTGTGATGCTGTGATACTGTGATACTGTGATACTGTGATACTGTGATGCTGTGATGCTGTGATACTGTGATGCTGTGATACTGTGATGCCGTGATACTGTGATACTGTGATACTGTGATGCCGTGATACTGTGATGCTGTGATACTGTGATGCTGTGATGCCGTGATGCTGTGATGCCGTGATACTGTGATGCTGTGATACTGTGATACTGTGATGCCGTGATACTGTGATGCCGTGATACTGTGATACTGTGATACTGTGATGCCGTGATACTGTGATGCCGTGATGCTGTGATACTGTGATGCTGTGATACTGTGATACTGTGATACTGTGATACTGTGATACTGTGATGCCGTGATACTGTGATGCTGTGATACTGTGATGCCGTGATACTGTGATGCCGTGATACTGTGATACTGTGATACTGTGATACTGTGATACTGTGATACTGTGATGCTGTGATACTGTGATACTGTGATGCCGTGATACTGTGATACTGTGATGCTGTGATGCTGTGATGCCGTGATACTGTGATACTGTGATGCTGTGATGCCGTGATGCTGTGATCCTGAGCGTTATCAGTGTCTCCATGCCTGAAGCCCTTCAGCGCCAGCGGCCCCATTCACTCTCTCGCTTGTACTGTCCTTTGGCTGAGAGCGGCCCCGTGACCTGGTACACCAGGCTGTTGGTGTACGCAGTTGGCATCGCCTGGTGGACTCGGGTCCTCATTAAGCTCCTAGCGTCTCTGGGTTTACCGGAGCGTAAACCTGTTTCCTTCTGATCTCACATCACAAGATGTGTGTTAATGATGTTGTTGTCTTCATATAATTATCTGGAGAAAAATGATGTAATTATGATGTAATGATAATATTAAGATAGCCTTTTAATCCCTTTATTCTTGAAGGATTGGGTCTTAATCCTTTATACCTGTAGGATTGGGCCCGAATCTTTCTCTTGAAAGATTAAATACTAACGCTTTATACCTGAAGGATTGGGTCCTAATCGTTTATAGTTAAAGGATTGTGTATAATGATCTACCCGTTTCTCAAGACTCTCCCACAATATTAAGTGATAGACCCCAAAAAAGTTCTCGTTTTGAACTATAATTTTATATAGAAGCTAAGATAGAAATACTAAAAACTCAAAGTTAAACATTTCTAGGGCTAGTATAGCACATATAGCTGTACTATATTAAGCCTAAGATAGCGTATATTAGGCCTAGAGTTATTAAACATCTTTGCTTACGTTCTTTGGGTATATTATCTATTTAATAGAATGGCTGGCGTGTTACTTCAGTACTGCAAAAGGTGGACGTTTAGGTCCAACAGTACATACTGGCTCTTTTGACCAACAGGGGGCCTGGTCGACGACCGGGCCGCGGGGACACCAAGCCCCGGAAGCACCTCAAGGTAAGGTAACCGGTTGGTCAAAAGCACAAATATGCATGTGATGCTTGACATCACAGGATGTCCCTCCCATGCTTGTGATCTCACTGACATCCATCATTGTACAATACTTCCAAATGTTCGGCGTGCTGAACTAAGTACACTTTGTACCATTTTCCCCTGAACGACACTGAACGAGGCTGTCATGAGCACTTGGCGAGGGTCGGGGTAAGAGAGAGTTAGGGGCCGTTCACCCGTAAATTCAAGGAACATACGTCTTAACACTAGAAACTCAACCGTATGGAGGGGATTCTCCTCAAGATTTGGGACAGTTTCACAAGTCTCTGGACAGTTTTCAATATATTCGAATTAACAAATCCACCAAACTTAAAGACCCAGATAATACGTTGCACCAACAAATATTATATATACTGAATACGACAACATTTGACTGTAAACATATTTAAATGATAGTTGCATCTGAGAACCTTCAGTGCTGCCCAGTAACAATTTATATTATATATATATATATATATATATATATATATATATATATATATATATATATATATATATATATATATATATATATATATATATATATATATATATTGATAATATAGCCTCTCAGCTGGATACAAGTGGGCGAGCTGTGATGTGTATCCGACAGAACCATCAGCACACCTGCACGACACACCTGTGGTATACCTGCACGAGACACCTGCACAACACACCTGTGGTACACCTGTGGTACACCTGCACAACACACCTGTGGTACACCTGCACAAGACACCTGCACAACACACCTGTGGTACACCTGCACGAGACACCTGTGGTACACCTGCACAACACACCTGTGGCACACATGCACAACACACCTGTGGTACACCTGCACAACACACCTGTGGTACACCTGCACAACACACCTGTGGCACACATGCACAACACACCTGTGGTACACCTGCACAACACACCTGTGGTACACCTGCACAACACACCTGTGGTACACCTGCACAACACACCTGCACGACACACCTGTGGTACACCTGCACAAGACACCTGTCACACCTGCATGACATACTTGCGGCACACCTTCACAAGACACCTGTGGCATACTTGCACGACATACTTATGGTACACCTGCACAAGACACCTGTGCCACACCTGCATGACATACTTGTGGCACACCTTCACAAGACACCTGTGGCACATCTGCACAAGACACCTGTGATACACCTGTGGTACACCCACAACACACCTATGGTACACCTGCACGACACACCTGTGGTACACTTGCACAATATACCTGTGATACACCTGCGCAAGACACCTGTGGTACACCCACAACACACCTGTGGTTCCCCTGTACAACATATTGAGAGCAGCAACGTGTGCTGTAGCAGTGTGTGTTCCAGCGAGCTGTCGGTGCCTGAGAGGAGTTTGCAGCCGCAGTTGTTACATCAAAACACTTTTTTTTATTTAAACAGTACTTTATTTTTTAGTATAAATTAACTGAAATAATGCTGTCTTGTTTCTTAAATATAATAAAGGTTAATGTGTCAAGCTTTCTTAGTAGAAATTCATATTAGAAATAATAGGTATGATACATGCATGTTTAAGTTAATACAAGAAGCACACAAGCGTCTTAAGACAGGAGAGTCTCCCGACCCTCTTCGTATGGTTGTAATATCACAAATAGGGCTTGTACTTGACTGATTAGCTAAATCAATCACCCTTGTAACAGACTTATGGCTAATTTGAGTGTTTATCTACCATAGGAGACAACACACAATTAAGTTACACACTCGCCCTTGGCAATGCTTAATCACTTGCACACAATTATGCATTTGCTACCTTTATCTCATTAGGTCACTATACACACTATTTACATTGACAGATGACAAGAGACACTTGGAAGAAAAATGCTCATTCGTGTCCCAATTATAAGGGTAAAATTACTTCCTGTGTATAAAAAAGTGCAAAGCCTTTGAGCCTTTGTGTGGGGCATTGAGTGTTAAAACTTGACAACACTATCACATGGTCACTGAGCAGTGGGTGTGTTGTCATGGGGCCGTGGGTACCCGCACGGCTGAGGTGGCCCCGTCATGCCCGGCACAGTCATCCAGCACACAACACACACTTAAGGAGCACCATCATTAATATCCGGCTCTTTTTAAGGAGCTCACTATTGCCGGTGTCGAGTCTTGTTGATGGTCCTGTAGTCTGCGTCTGTGACTGGTAAACTGCAGCTTCGTCTGCGTCTGTGAGCAAGGTTGCTGGAATAGTTGGCTCCATGGGTCACCCGAGGTCACACGGCTGCCTGCAGACGGGTCGGGGATGGCCATTTGTCGATGGTTGGCAAGTCTGGCGTGGCCCCACGATCGCTAGGGTTCTCGTGGTTGTTACCGTAGGTGGCATCGTCCTCAGAGTCTACACATTCAGAAGGAAGATCAGAGTGTGAGGCGAGGGAGGAGGCAGGGCGGGACGAGGAGGGTGACACGCCAGGCCACACCCGAGGTTCCGTTTGCGTTGTACCATCTGTCACTCCAAGAGAGTCTGGGTCGAGGCTGTGTTGCTCATCCTCCTGGCTGGGCGTAGGCTTCTGCAGAGGTTCATTTGGCGAAAGTTTACGGTGGTGGATAGGAAGTTTAACCGGACTAGTGACTTTGGGGTCTTCTCTAGGAACCTTTCTGGGACGGTGCCCACACGGTCGTAACCTTTCACACTTCTCTTCAGCTAGACTCCGCTGCTGAAGATTCTGCTGCTGTACCTGCTTCAACAGTATCTGCTGGTGGTGAAGTGGAAGGCTGAAGACATCTTCACTGCCTAAAGGCGTGTAGCCACTGCAGTTCAGGGAAAAGTTGTTCTTAACAATTTTAGTGAGGAGACATGGCCTGGGAGGCAGCGGCTGGCCCAGACGGTGAAGCACCTCGCCATCATCTCCAGAGGCCTCATCAGTGTGGCCTGCGTAATCCACCACTACTGCCGAGTCTGGAGTAATGTCGTGAAGGTTGAGACGACGGGAGTGTGGTTGTCGCCAGGCCCCTGGAGATGGCCGCTCATCACTGTCATGTTTCCGACTGTGGCGAGTGTGCCGGCTGCCAGTGGAGCACAGATCAGAGTCTGAGCCACGCGTGTGACGGTCGTGGGAGATGTCTGTCAGGTAGTCGACATGAATGTCAGACTGAGGTGAGGTAGATGAAGTGCGGGGTGCAAGCAGCGCCGTCAGCTGCTCCACTGCCTGCCGGCCTTCGTAGCCATGTACAGCAGGCTCCCCCTCAACATACACAGCTCGTTGGCGGGCCAGACGTGCACGTGCAACCGGTCGGTGTAGAGAAGCGTACACATGCGAGGAAGCGGTGGATGACGACTGGTAATAAGGAGCAACTTCAAAGTCATCGTACATGCGGACGTCAAAGCTATTGGCGGCACTGATGGAGGAACAAGTACTGGCATACTTGGACCAGTCATTGTCAGCTGTAGGTGCGGGAGAGAGGGCATCCGTAGAGCTGTAGTCCGTGACACTCGCTGCATCGCTCCTGCAGTGTCTGCTGTCTCCCAGCCCACAGTACAGCTCAGAGTTGATGCGGTTCTGCAAGAGGTGCCCAAACTGGTTGCTGTCATATGGGTCTTCATATCTCGGGGAACTCTTGGACTTCGCAGATGGAGACTTTTCCTCGGGCTGAGGGGTGTTGGCATAGAGGCTCTGGTCATACGAAGGTGGGTCGTCCTTGGGAACCTGCTGCAGGAGCTTCGAATCTGCAGCGTCTGCTTGAATTTCCAGGTTCTGTAGGGACTTTCGGAGGACCTCGTCCATGCCTTGCTGAGGGTCGACTTGCATCCTGAATCTGACGAAGCCAGCATCGTTGAAGAGCATGGAGGAAGGCCTAGAGGCAGAATCCGGGGGAAGGGCGCCGAGGGTGTTGCCGTGGTTCCACAGGAGATGGATGTCAGAGGTGCCAGAGTGGAGAGTGGCAGATTTGCGTATTGATGGTCGTTTGTGAGAGACCCGGACTGTGTTGGCCCGCCGGGCAAGAGGCTCCTGTGTCAGTGCCTCCTGGTAAACAACCTTCCCACAGGACTGCAGTGTGAAGTTCCTCACGGCTTGGTTAGTCTGGCAGACAGCAGGGAAAACTTCATCAACCTTGTCTTGAGTTGTGATGCTGGAGCAACTACCACACCGCCTACAGGAGAACACCGCAAGGATTCTCTTCTCCCCCTTGTGGTTCTGCCGCTTCCCCGAAGATCCCCCCAGAGTAAGAGTCGAGGCCACACCCAACAGCACCCACATGAGCACCTCCAGAAGGCGACAGGTGCTCTGATAGGCCAGCCAGTGCCAGGGATATGCTGGTGGGAGCTCGAAGATGTAGTGAGGACCTACCAGGGCATACATGTGGAGACCGGCCACCAGCACCTGCAGTAGGGAGGCCACAATAGTCAGGTGGGAGCCACGCAGAAGGGCGAGCCGCGGGTGACGAGGAGGCAGAGTTCCTTCCAGTGGCGCTCGACTCAACCGGACCAGGAGCAGCCCTGGATGGCGGCCGGCTCCACGCCCGACCCGCCACACAGAGAGGAAGCCACCAATGCCCACAGCGCCGCCCCAGGCTGCAGTGACAGCCCTAGCAGCAGCCCTCAGTGGGGCAGCGTGCTCGGGCAGCAATGCTGAGGTCAAATGAGCAGCAATCGATGCCAAGAGATGAGCAGCAGTTAGGAGGGCAAGGGCTAATGGTGCGTGGGGCTTCCTGGGCAGTAGTCGTGGGCAGCGCCATGCCCTCACTATAGCCAGGACCACTACTGCCAGTGCTGCAGTGAGACAGGGCCATCCGGTTTCCTCCACGACGGCAGAGAGTGCAACGGGCAGGCGACGCTCAGCGCCGTAGGGGTCGTGGAAGAGGTGGACACAGCGCAGAAAGGCAGCAAGGAACATCAGGAGGTGGAGGGTGATGTAGTATCCTCGGGGCAGGAGGTGCGCTGCCGCATGCACACGCGCCAGCCAGAACAGTGCCAGCAGTGCCAGCAGGCTGTACAGGCCAGCTGCACAGTACACATGCACGACCCACACCGTCCCCAAGGCCCGCACCCATGCCACCTTGCTCAGGCCAACACCCACGTCTGCTCGAACCACCTCTACTTCCTGCGGTCGGTCCAGGTTCACCATTTGGTCTCTGGTGGCATCCGGCGCAGTGTTCACAGGCGCCTCTATGTACGGCGTCTGAACCGGCCGGTTACCCATGCGCTTGACGCCCCGCTGGTCCGTCACCGCCTTCTGCTGCACCTCCAGCTCCAGGCCAGGCTGGGATGACCAGACAGGCGGTCCTGAAGCCCTATACCCATAGTCATCCCTTGGGGGAAAGTCCTGGGGTAGTTTGTAGCTGGGGGTGGGGCGATGGGTGGAGGTGGTGGTGGTGGTGGAGGGGTGGCTGGTGGAGACACCGTAGGCCACACCGCGGAAGATGGCCGCCAGGGAGCTCTCGATGCTGCTGGTGTTGTTGGTCTTGTGGCGTAGCTCCATTCCTGACCACTTGGAGGAGAAGAGCCCCAGACTGCTGCTGTTGGTGCTGGTGTTGTCGCGTGCCCTGGGTGCGGTGAGCGGTGCCGTGCGCAGTCCCACCTGCGCCCTGGACGAGGTCACCAGCAGCACGCCCACCAGGAGCAACATGGCGGCGAGATGCATGGCTGCGCAGTCACCTTCTGGCCGACACGGCTGCCATCACAACCTGCGAAGGAGAGAGTGGAGGAGTCAGTGGCGCCGCCGCAAGTCTTCCTGTTTACTACAATAGTTTTGTTGAACACGGGTAGTGCTAATGGTGGTGGTGCTGGGAGTAATGGTGGTGGTTGTTAATGGTAGTGGTGGAGCTGGGGGTAATGGTGGTGGTTGTTAATGGTAGTGGTGGTGCTGGGGGTAATGGTGGTGGTTGTTAATGGGAGTGGTGGTGCTGGGAGTAATGGTGGTTGCTGTTAATGGTAGTGGTGGTGCTGGGAGTAATGGTGGTTGTTGTTAATGGTAGTGGTGGTTCGTGTATCAATAGTAGTGGTGGTTGTTGTATCAATGGTAGTGGCGGTTGTGTAAAGGTGGTGGAGGAGTAATGGTGGTTGTAGTGGTGGTGATGGTGGTTACAGTGAGCAAGGGGATAAGGAAAACAGAGAGTATTGGCACCTGGTGACACTGAAGGTACTGATAATGGTGGTGGTACTTATGGTGGGAGTGTCAAGAATGGTAGTGATTATGGTGCTAATAACGGTAGTGGTGCCAGATGTGGTAACTATTGTAATAGTGGAAGATATTGACGTAGTGATGACTGCAGAGGCAGGCAAGTGGGTATGGTGGGCCGGAGGTGCCTGGAACTGCTGGGTATAGGCCTACCATAGTAAAAGCTATGCCTATATATAGCATCATTTCAAACTAGGCCTACCATAGTAGAAGCTATGCCTATATATAGCAACATTTCAAACTAGGCCTACCATAGTAGAAGCTATGCCTATATATAGCATCATTTCAAACTAGGCCTACCATAGTAGAAGCTATGCCTATATATAGCATCATTTCAAACTATCACAATTTCGGGAAACGATTGAAATTATTAAATATAAACTCAACGATTTAAAATAATTATTGAGGGAGATCTGGGAAGCACTGAAGAGTGTTGAATCCCTCCCACATGTGGAGAAGCGACAACCTTTAACACTATTGGCATTATGGGGAAAATATTTATGCTGTTTGATACGATCCAAAATCTCGACATACAAGAATTAAAGTAAATTCCTGTAACTATTCTTGGTCCAAGACCTGTATCAACCAAGGCTGTGATAACCACTTCCCACCAAACACACACCGAAACTACGACGTTGGTACAACGTTCGAACACGTTTTAACACCTCCTAACCAGTTTTAACAGCCAATATAGCACGTTGTAACAACGTTCTAATACGTCATAAACACGTTAAGCCAAGATGTAACAACTTTATTACAAGTTGTAACAAGCAGAAAATAGAAACAGTTACGGTTTGTGTTACCAGGGTTGATACCTGGAGAGGGTTTCGGGAGTTTATCTACTACCCAAGCCTGGCCCGAGGCCAGACTTGACTTGTGACAACTTGGTCCAACAGGCAGTTGCTTGGAGCGGCCCGCAGGCCCACATCTTAACCACATCTTAACCACTTGCTATAGCAACGTGAGTGAAGAAGCACTCAGACCCACTGATCACCCCCAGACATGGTTCAAGGTCACCCTCTACCCCTCGCCCGTGGCTAGGATTTCTTCAATGGTTGTAAAATCTGCCACCAGTGGGCAGATTCGCGTCCTGGTCAAGAACCGGGCCGCGGGGACGCTCAGCTCCGAAATCATCTCAAGGTAAGGAGGTTATATCACAACTGTAATGCTCCTCTTTACACTCCCACACACAAGGTTGGAAAGTTTTAAGGCTGATTTCTGCAAATATCGCACATATTACGATTTTTTTCAGCAAAAATAGTAAGGGATAACTTTTGGGGATCCTTGTCCTAGGATACTTAAATAAGAATATCTTATTTAAGTATCCTAGACATGTTATCCTAGTATCGCACTAAGAAAGCAGAGCGTCTATGGGTCATCCAATAATGTTAGCAGACTTCTAGATGTCACCACTGCTAGACTTAGTCTCGGCTACAAGTACCTCTGGCTGTGTAACATCTGCTGATGTAGACTTGACTAAATGTTAACTGTCGGCAGAACTATTCACGTACTTTGCGTCATTATATAATGGAATGTGAAAAATCGCCGAATTCAGAGATAACATTATCAATGGTGTCCAAGAAATGTGTAAGTACTTTATTCATAATGATGTGCTGCCGGGAATCTTAGCCAAGTATCTCAAATTTGCTTACTGTAGGTGCAGCTGTCGCCCAGTTGGGTGGGTGTGGAGCACATGACTGTAAAGCTGCCGCCCAGTTGGGTGGGTGTGGAGCACATGACTGTAAAGCTGCCGCCCAGTTGGGTGGGTGTGGAGCACATGACTGTAAAGCTGCCGCCCAGTTGGGTGGGTGTGGAGCACATGACTGTAAAGCTGCCGCCCAGTTGGGTGGGTGTGGAGCACATGACTGTAAAGCTGCCGCCCAGTTGGGTGGGTGTGGAGCACATGACTGTAAAGCTGCCGCCCAGTTGGGTGGGTGTGGAGCACATGACTGTAAAGCTGCCGCCCAGTTGGGTGGGTGTGGAGCACATGACTGTAAAGCTGCCGCCCAGTTGGGTGGGTGTGGAGCACATGACTGTAAAGCTGCCGCCCAGTTGGGTGGGTGTGGAGCACATGACTGTAAAGCTGCCGCCCAGTTGGGTAGGTGTGGAGCACATGACTGTAAAGCTGCCGCCCAGTTGGGTGGGTGTGGAGCACATGACTGTAAAGCTGCCGCCCAGTTGGGTGGATGTGGAGCACATGACTGTAAAGCTGCCGCCCAGTTGGGTGGGTGTGGAGCACATGACTGTAAAGCTGCCGCCCAGTTGGGTGGGTGTGGAGCACATGACTGTAAAGCTGCCGCCCAGTTGGGTGGGTGTGGAGCACATGACTGTAAAGCTGCCGCCCAGTTGGGTGGGTGTGGAGCACATGACTGTAAAGCTGCCGCCCAGTTGGGTGGGTGTGGAGCACATGACTGTAAAGCTGCCGCCCAGTTGGGTGGGTGTGGAGCACATGACTGTAAAGCTGCCGCCCAGTTGGGTGGGTGTGGAGCACATGACTGTAAAGCTGCCGCCCAGTTGGGTGAATGTGGAGCACATGACTGTAAAGCTGCCGCCCAGTTGGGTGGGTGTGGAGCACATGACTGTAAAGCTGCCGCCCAGTTGGGTGGGTGTGGAGCTCATGACTGTAAAGCTGCCGCCCAGTTGGGTGGATGTGGAGCACATGACTGTAAAGCTGCCGCCCAGTTGGGTGGGTGTGGAGCACATGACTGTAAAGCTGCCGCCCAGTTGAGTGGGTGTGGAGCAAGACTAGTAACTGTGTGACTCACCATAGATGTAAAGTGCCTTGTATAGTGACTGTTGTGAGCCTCTTGTTGAATCGATGTGTAAATAATATATATATATATATATATATATATATATATATATATATATATATATATATATATATATATATATATATATATATATATATATATATATATATATATATATATATATAATTGTGTAACTAGGGTCAAAAGATTGTCACTTGCTTAACTAAACGAACTATGGAGTTCAGTTCCTGAACTGACCATGTGCCTCTGTAACCCTTTCCACCACCGCCCACGGGATGGGTATATGGGTATGGGGGTGCATAATAAAGAAACAAATTGGAAAGCAGTGGGCATTAGAGGCAGTGGCGGGCACTGACGCCCCCCCCCCCCATCCTCCCCCCTAGCGGAGGGTACACTTGGTGAGAGGCTTCAGGAGGAGAGGAGCCCCCGCGTTAGTGTGGCTGGGGCCCACTAGCAGTAAAGACAGGAGCCGCCATTAACCCTTCCGTGGCACGGCTCAAACGCCCCTCACTCAAAACTCTCTCCGGTTAAACGATCATTTCAACTCAATTTACCGACAGCTTGGAGCTCTTCCCGGGGAAAACTAACTTTGATTTTAGCAGTAAGCGCTTGAGAGTCTCGTAAATGTTCTCCCGAAGCCCAGGTTTTTGTGTGAAGAAGCGCCGGCGCCGGGTTAGCGTCTGAGGGGGGAATGGTGCTGGTGCTGACCCCCAGGTGACCCCAGCACCCGGGGGCCGCCGGCTTGCTGACCCCCAGCACCCGGGGGCCGCAGGCTTGCTGACCCTCAGGTGACCCCAGCACCCGGGGGGCCGCAGGCTTGCTGACCCCCAGGTGACCCCAGCACCCGGGGGGCCGCAGGCTTGCTGACCCTTAGGTGACCCCAGCACCCGGGGGCCGCCGGCTTGCTGACCCCCAGGTGACCCCAGCACCCGGGGGGCCGCCGGCTTGCTGACCCCCAGGTGACCCCAGCACCCGGGGGGCCGCCGGCTTGCTGACCCCCAGGTGACCCCAGCACCCGGGGGGCCGCCGGCTTGCTGACCCCCAGGTGACCCCAGCACCCAGGGGCCGCCGGCTTGCTGACCCCCAGTGTATGGGATCCTCTTGTATTCAAAATCAAGTTATATTTAAATATGCATTTAATGTAATATGGGCAGATATTTAAGTTATATATAGGAGCACATGCATCTGTAATTATTATTATTTACACGAATTCAGTAAAAATAATGGAATATATAATTAATATGAAGATAGTAGATGTCGTTTACTAATCCCAAAACACGACAAGTGAGCAGTCTACAGCCTCGTGCCAAACACATGCACCAACAGCCAAGACTCGTCTATTACGACAAATCAAAGGACGACACCACAATGCTCATGTGTCAACTTTGTGAAAGAGAAAACATGCACTCTCTTGAACATTATATTGTAGAATGTCTCATATTGACTGACTTTCGCCCTCCTGGGCTAAGGTATGCTGAACTCTGTAGTTACTATATGAGTACTGGAACACTTGATGATATATTGGACTTGTACCCAAGATTAACCATGTAATGTATCAATTATATAATGTATATATATGATGTAACTATATAACCTGAGCTTGTAAAAGCACCTTCATCACCTTCAGTGATTAAGTGCTTAATTGCACACTAGTTTTTCTATGAGCTATCTCTCTCTGCCAGAGTAAAAGAGAAAAATGTATGTGAATGCATGTGTGTGTATATATGTATGT